CACCCCACCCCACCCCTGGCTCCGATGCCATGGAGGGGGCCCCTGCTGTCCCACACCACGAGCTCCCAGCCCCACTGCCCCCATTTTAAACCGCCTGGCTTCCTCTTTAAAAGCCTGGGAAGCCCCTCCCTGCCCCTCTCCCCTGCTTATTGAAAACCCTTGAAGTGTCCTCTACTGAGCCCTATGCCACCATTTCACAGACAGGGACACAGAGGTCCCTCGGGCCCACAGCGCACCGTGGTGACCTCATGCTGTCACCCTGGACTCAGGCCCCAATGAATCCTGCAGGAATTGGCCCTGCGTGTCTGCATGCTGCCCACGAGAGGGCGACAGGACACCATGCAGTTCACCCATGTGGTCCACAGAGGTCAGTGAGGTCCACATCGCAGAGGAGGAGCCACGCAGGGCATTGCCTGCTCTGAAGTCTCTGGAGACCCCAGCACGCTGCAGTTAGGAGCCACCAGCAGCACAGGCTGCAGCCTGCGATCCAGCAGCAGGGGTGGCCTGGCTGGGGCTGTGCCTGTCCCTGTCTAGGCCCGAGTTCCAGGTGGACCCCAAGCGACCTCGAAGCCCTCCCTACAGCCCCCAGGAGAGGGTGCTGTCCTCACCGAATGGCTGCAAAGCCTCTGACCTGACCCTTTGGGGACGCTGGCCTAGAGGATGGCTGGGACAGAGCCACAGAACGTGGGCCTCACTGGATGCTCGGTACCCACACCACACTCACCAGCCAGGGGACCCGCAGCACCTTCACTGTCTGTGCCTGTTTCCGCAGTGCAGGACAACACAATCCTGCCCCGCGTGACGGGCTCAGAAACAACGCATGAAGAAGGGCCACAAATCAGCAGTGCATGGTCACACAGGTTGGCGCAGGTGTGTGGGCCGTGTGGCCCTGCCCTGGGCCACCCTCTGTGGCCGGTTCTTCCGCGGGCTCAGTGGCCACCATAAGGATGGCCTTGCTACTGTGGGTTTTTAAAAACCAAATACTCATTTAAGCAGCTGAAGAGACCAGGCGGTGTGTCACAGACCCCAGCTGGATGGCAGTCATGCGCCCCCTGCAGCGCCCATGGGGAACCCCAGCTCCTCTTCTGAAACCACCAGTGTCCCGTGTCCCAGCTGGTACCTTCCTGCCGTCCTCGGCCTCCTGCAGCTGTGCTGCCCTGTGCTCTGCCTGTGGTCAGTGGCTAAGGGTCACAGACAGGGACTTCCTGGGTCCTCGCCTGGCAAGCCGCAGGACACCCAACAGCATGCGAGGAGTTGGGGATTTTTTTCCTGTGCTGGGAATGGAACTCAGGGTCTCGTGGGTTCTAGGCAAGCGTTTATCCGCAGCCCTTTCTGGTTTTCAAGACAGATTCTCACTAGTTACCCAGGCTGGCTTCAAACCTGCCATCCTCCCACGGACCTGGGGTCACGGCACCACTGCACCTAGCCGTGAGTTGCTTTTGTACACACGGCTCACTGGAGTGAAAGTCACGCCGCCTTAAACCCATTTGGAAGCCAACTCTGCAGTGACACTTGGTCCATTGGGGATGCCATGAGGCCCTGCCAGTCCCCAACCGTGGCCAGTGCCTGAAAGGAAACACTGGCCCAAGCGCCCTGGTGCCCACCTTTCTCCTCACAGCTGTGCACCCTGCACACTCACGAGTGTGACCGCAGCACACAGCTTCTGCTCCTGTACACACAGGCTCGTGTGTCTGTGCCTCACACCGATTTGGAGCCGAGCGACAGCCACCACTTGTCCCAGACTGTGCCCACCTGCTGGCAAGGTGCAGCCAGGCCCCCAGTTCCCTCGGCCTCATACCCACCCTGCCAGGGTTGGGGTGCAAGTGGGCCAGACCGCGGTCTGTGGGGGTCACTTGCTGGAGATCATGGGGTGTGCTTGGTGTCCAGGTGGGTGCTTTTGCTTGGAGCAGCACTGGGGAGGGAATCGGGGCCTTGGCACTGAGCTCCATCCCCAGCCCTTTTATTTTTCATTTTGAGGCAGGGTCTCACCGAGTTGCCTGGGCTGGGCTGGGGCTGTGGTCTTCCTGCCTCGGCCTTCCAGAGCACTGGGTTTGCTGTGTGATTTTAAGTGACTGAGACTTTATGCATGGGTGATTTGGGCAGCTGTGTATGGTGTGCAGGTTGTGAGTGCCTGTACACGCACACGCACGCGCACACTTGTGCCCACCCCACAAACGGCAGCGTGATGCTGTTCTGCCCAGACCCTTCTCTGCACTCGCCAGAAGGCTCTACCTGCCGGTCCTGCCCACTCTGTCCCCCTCTTGGCCGCCCCACCCCAGGGCTGAGGCAAGGCCCCCTTGGCCGGGAACTCAGGTGTGGCCCACCCTGCTCACCCACCAGGGCCCAGCCCTGTCCCTTCCGCTCAGGCCGCAAGGGCCTGGCTCGGGCCCCCAGTCACCCCTGTTGTCCCCTCCTGAGTGCCCCAGCCCCACCTCAGTACAGCACCTAAGCCCATGTGGCGTAGACAGGCTGTGAACCCAGGACCCCGAGTCCTGCCCCTAGGTTCCACCCACCCTGCCAGCATTGGGTGGGATCCCAGCCTTCACAAGATGGGGAAACCAAGGCAGAGACAGCTCCCCCAGGCCACACCCACCCTGAGTCTTGCTCCTTTTGCTCCCCCAGCCTCGGGCAGGAGGGGAGGTCAGAGGGCAAGTGTCCTGGGAAGTGGGGCAGGGAGGGGTGAGTCTCCACTGCGGGTGCCCTGGGATGTGGGTGTGGAGGGTTAGGGGAGGGGACACGGTGCCCGCACTCCCCGTGTCCCCTGGGGACAAACTCTGGGATCCCAGGCTGGAACCAGCATGGTCCTCTGCCATAGCTAGAAAGGGGAGGAGGTGCCTGCACCCCACCTCTTGGGGATAGGAGCGAGGCAAACTGGGTCCCTCCCTGCTGTCCCACTTTCCCCTGCTGGAGAAGGAAGGTTTATCTCGGCTCCAAGGCAGAGGGGCTGGCGGAGGGACAGCTGCCTACCATGGGCAGGGAGCTGGGAGCAGGAGGTGAGCAGGGAGAGTGGGACGGACACCATCCGGCTCACACCCCACCCGGGGCTCCTGGGCAGCTCCCACCCAGTCGCCAATCGAGCAGAGCAGGCAGCTGAGGGTGACACAAGGGACCCTCCCTCTGGGCCTCGTGAGTGGCGGTCGAAGGACTGGAGGGGACTCTTCTCTTCCTCTTCCCAGTGACAGCCATGGCTGGGACAGGCAGCAGGGAGAAGGCCGGGTTCTGGGAGGGGCAGGGCAGTTGACAGGGACTTCGAGGTCACAGGATAGGGGAGCAGGGGGAAGAGGCAGATTCTGAGAATTGTAACCAGGTCATGGGCTTCCTGCCAGTGACTAGAGAAATGCAGGCAGAAGCCCAGTTCCTCTTTGTTTTGTTTTGTTTTTGAGACAGGGTCTGGCTATGCAATTCAGGCTGGCCTTGAACTCAGGGCAATCCTCCTGTCTCAGCCTCCTGAGTGCTGAGATAACAGGCGTGTGCCACCAGCCGGGCCATTTCCATCTCTTCTGAGGCTGCACTAAGCTTTGGTGGTCTGCCTGGCCCAGGCCTGCTGGGGCGGAGCTCTCACAGCTCCAGAGGAAGGGGCCCTCTTCTCAGCACAGCTCAGAGAGCGTGGGCCGCTGCCACTCTCCATCAGAGGGGGAAACCGAGGCACAGGGAGGTCGCCTGGGTTCCCAAGGTCCCAGAGGCAGGACAGAGCTGAGTCAGGGTAGAGCCTGGCTTTTCTCCCTCCAGCTCTGGCCCCGGGCGGGGATTCGACGATGTAGCGTTGACTCTTTTCCAAGCTCAGGGTTTCGGGCCGAGGCTGAGCGGGGAGCCAGCCTGGCCTGGGTACCGCTGCCCACTCACTGGCAGAGGCCCCTGTCCCGGGCACGGCCAGGGGAAAGCAGACACCTCAGAAACTGAGGGGGCCGGGAGATGCACGGCGTGCTGGAGCCCGGCAGTGGCACGGCAGAGGGGTGGGCACCCCGCCTCTCATGGACGAGCGCTCAACTCTGTCCCGTGTCCCAGGTGCAACAGCACTTCCAGGCCATGGCCAGAGGGAACGACCCGAACATAGCTGTCCTCACTCCCGCCCGGTCTCGGGGCTGTCCTTTCAGAAACCATTTCCCAGGGTGGGAGACACGCAGGCCACTTGAAAGTGCCGTCTCCCTCCGCTGACGTTCCCACTGCCTGACTGGCTTCCGGTCCTGAGGCCACAGGTTCAGTGCGGGAAGACCGCAGGGTTTCCCAGTCCATCTGCGGAGGGCTTGAGGAGCAACTTCCGACCCCCCACGTGTGAGCCCCACATGCCTGTCTGGGGACACACAGCACACCATCCTGCTCCGTGATAGGCGGGGTGCCCCTTCCCAAGCTCGCCCACCCCACGGGGGGCACCAGCAGGGCACACGGCCCCACCGAGCTCTGCAGCCCTTGCGGCCTCTCCCTCAGAGGGCAGAAGGGAGGCTGCTCCGCTTCCAGGGAACCCGCAAAACTGGGCTCCCTCTGCTCTTTCTGGGACCTCGTCTTCCCTTCCAGAAAAAGGGTAGCCTGCATGGGCTGGGGTGGGTTCATCCCTTCCTGCCTCTACCACAGCACCAGGGCTGGGCTTCACCACCAACTCCAGGGCTGATCTGCTAGCGAGGGCCCCAGGGCCTGTGGTGGTGGGGGCAG